GCTTAGCGACAGTTACATTTCTGATTGTTTTTATAGTGTACACCATTCTGACAAGTAAAAACGGTGGATGTAAACAAAATGCTTACAGCAGGTCTATTATCATTTGAATTGGAGGATAGGAAGGAATGCATTTTTAATTATGGAGTTTGTCGTATTTTCCCCGTTGTTGATATAGATAAATAAATAAATAAGTACAGTACAATTAATTAATTAAGCTTTTTGCCACCGTGTCGGAAGACACGGGCTCGAACGGGAAATTTAGTTCCTAAATACTGAATACATCACTGCATTTACCTGGCAGTGTTGCCATTCCGCGGGAGGAAAGTTAAATTCAGGGGCGTAGACTCGCTGAATTAAATTAGTTGTTGAGCCAAACCATATGACTAAACTATACGTGTGGCATTTGTTGTTCTACTGGCATGTTAAGTTAAACTATAATTATGGGGTCTTTTTTCATATTTTCTTGCCCCAAAGCTGGTTCTATAACTAAATTGAAGTGTTACATTCGTCAGCCAGCTCAGCTCCTGTAATGTTACGGCCGTTTCAGCATTAATGTGCTATCATCAAACTGTTCGGCTAAAAGACGTTGTTATAACACAGAAACATTTCCACACGAAACACACACATACACAAAATTGGTTAAAAAAGGCTGTTAATAAATCGACCGCAGAGGAAGGTGGTACAGTATTCTGAAAGAGAATGAAATGTTCTACAATTGCTAGGCATTTCTTGAAAATACTTAATAAAGGTAGGAGAAAGTTTCCTCCAAATAAAAAAAAACGTGTAAAATACAATTGTTTTTTTATTTATAATGGAAAACAGGGTTTTTTTATTTATCACCATAAACCATAACTAAAACAAACTTTCATAATTCATTATTTGCAAATCTTAATCTCCACGAATCAAGCCATCAGTCCAGTAAAACGGTATATTATATATTAACAAAGTACCGCGCAGATAATAACAAAAATATTCAATATTAATTTGGACTTCAGAAAAAGCGTATAGATTTTGAAAGTAGGCCTACAACAACAACAAAATATCTCCTCAAGATTTAAGAATAAGTCAACTGTGTTTTGCTTTTTTATGAACATATTTTGATCAATTTCGGAAAATACATTCATTATTTACTAAACTATTAACATTTTGGAAAAACAAACTTTTTTACCGCCCTTGTTGCAGCAAACCTAAGTACTCGTTAAACTAATTCTATTTAAATAGGGAATACATGTGGTATTTTTAAGGAGGCATTTTTAGTGTACACCCAAATGGCAAATGGAAATTCGCTTACTTGCAGTGGCGGGTTTTTTTCATATGTTATACATCCAAGTACAGTATAATACTATTTGAAACGATAAAAAGTGGGGGGGATCTTTACATAATAGTTTTATGATTATGAAAACTCGTTGTAAGCTGAGAGCTAAAGACACGTTAGCTGGACTTCAGGCTCAAAATAACTTAAGATTACACTAGATACAAAAAGATGTTACATGAACATGACCATAATTTTTGGACACATTATTTTAAATCGTATGGCATTATTTAATTTTTGTAAATAATTGATTTCGGAAGAGTGTTTTGACTTTTTCATTGCACAGCAGCCATATCTAACTGTTGGGAAAAGATCGTTCATTGTGCTTTAGATAGCTAGAGTCCATAAACATGGATTTGTTAAAGTTATTAATACAAATATATAAGACCTGTTAGTAAAAAGATTCCTGTGTGGCATGTGAATGAAAACGGCAAAGGAAAAATATTATAGGACCAAAATTAATTGTTGGGTACATTATTTTACATCATATAACATTATCCATTTTTGTGAATAATTTATTTTGATACAATCAGAGGAGTAAAAAAGAAAGAGTGTATGATGATGCTATCAACAATGTATTTTCGGATCAAAAACTATGGGGCGGCCCAGATTAGCCACGTTCTTGCGAATGTTCGTTTGACCCCTAGAAAAGATGTTTATTCTACTGTAAATTGTTATTCTGGCAAATCTTTGTTATATTTTAAGGATAAAGTTATATTATTTTAACTGTTTAATTTGCATTTGCTTAGAAATAAGTATTTAAAGTTGTAAAGTGGGCGTGGTTTGTGAGTATAGTAACAATGGGATAGCGCCAGTTTAGTTTTGCGTTAAAAACTGGGCCAATAGGAGAGTAGTCTGGTTGTAGCGCCTTCCCCTTGTTTCGGTCAATCTAGTTTATAATTCTAATCCACTGCCTGTTATATATCATGAACAATATCAATATCTATATCATACAAAGTGTTAGTTTGTGTATCTATCGTTTCCTGTAGTATATCATTATTAATATAAATATAGATATTATATGTTGCATATATTATAGTACCCGTACCGTTGACTATGGAATTCATAGGCTACTGTTCTTAATGGATTAGATTGCAACTTCAGCCGTTGATTATTAAACTAATGTGCAATCCCTCTTTGAATTGATTATGGAATCACCTCGGTTACTGTTCTTAACGGTCAAGATACTTACTCTAGTCGATGATTATTTTACCAATGATGGAACCTTACCATCATTATCACCACTTATTACCACTTTACCATTGATTATGGATTCAGTCTTCGGCTACTGTTGTTAACGGTCTAGAATTTCACTAGAGTCGTTGCTGATTGTAGATCCATATACCCCCACCCTAAATCGAAAACTAAGGATGTTGGAGGGGATGAGGTTTGCGCCATTGACTTTCTCACCCCCAAAATAGGGTAAAAAACTATATCACAACCCCTCATACCCCCCAGAACACCTATTTCGTACCCACTCCCCAGATCCATATACCCCCATCCTAAATCGAAAACTATAGATGTTGGAAGGACGGGGTTTGCGCCATTGAATTTCTCGACCCCAAAATAGGGTAAAAAACTACATCACAACCCCTCATACATCCCAGAACACGTATTTTATACCCACTCCCCAGATCCATATACCCCCACCCTAGATCGAAAACTAAGGATGTTGGAGGGATGGGGTTTGCGCCATTGACTTTCTCACCCCCAAAATAGGGTAAAAAACTATATCACAACCCCTCATACATCCCAGAACACGTATTTTATACCCACTCCCCAGATCCATATACCCCCACCCTAAATCGAAAACTATAGATGATGGAGGGACGGGGTTTGCGCCATTGAATTTCTCGACCCCAAAATAGGGTAAAAAACTACATCACAACCCCTCATACATCCCAGAACACGTATTTTATACCCACTCCCCAGATCCATATACCCCCACCCTAAGTCGAAAACTATAATAAAACTATAATAAAAAGTCAATACCCCCTTCTCTAATATTTTCTAAGTGAATATACAGAGATGTCCTTTTGGTGGTCGTCCAATCTTAGCAAGATGTTTCATTTTATGAATTTAAATGTTCCCCCAAAAGGGGGGATTTTGGGGTAACTCAAAAATAAACCCCCTTCAAGTGGCATCTCATCTTAAAGTGTTTACAGCAACTTTATGAATGTTGAAAACCAGATTTTGCTATTTTATCTCTAACCAAAATGGTAGCCCGTCGAACGTTATGTAAAATCAATGGTCATATTTGTTTGTGATTGTAATATTGGCTACCATTTTGGGCAGAGGAGAATACTCAACGATTTTAAAATCATAAATAAAATCGTAAAAAATAAAATGAAACTTCCTGCTAAGGGTGCATGATTACCAAAAGCATTACTCTGTAATATTTACTTAGGAACAAATTGGAGGGAGGGAAACTACTTTTTATTACACTAGAAAATTAATGTAACAGTAACGTCATTAAACTTTTGACGGGCTACCATTTTGGATAGAGAAGAGATAGCGAACTTTGTTTTTCACCATTTTTTAAGTTCTTGTAAACACTTCAAGATGAGGTGTCACTTGAATAGGATTTACTTTAAAATTCTTGAGTTGCCCCAAAATCCCTCCTTTTTGGGGGACACTCACAAATTTCAAAATCATTAAATGAAACTTCCTACTAATATTGCAAGACCACCAAAAGGATATTTCTGTATTTACTTAGAAAAATATTGGGGTTCTTGACTTTTTATTCACCCCGTATTTAACCAATTCCAAAGACTAAGCATAGTGGGTTGCAAGAAATGTCAAAAGGGTTAATGGCTTTAACAAGTCCATTAAGAACAAAAGAGAAAAAGCTTCATTTTGTAAATTTATATCATTATTATAGATATATTTTTAGGTTAATATAAATAATATTTATGCTTAGGATGTATTAAACTCTTTAATTATATATTACCCTCATACATGAGTTCAAAACGCTTAATTTGAGACATAAATAATGCCTTTCAGACAATTACTTTAAAAGATACAGCAAAAAATCTAAATTTCCAAGATGGCGGCAGTTTTTTCAAGATGGCGGCCGTTCCCCAACTGGGATTTCTTGGGACTTTGTGTGGGCCACTCAGGACATTGTTCTGAACACTGAGCTAAACTTATAACTGGAGGTAGCACTGAATGTCAAAGATGAGTGTCGTCAGCCGCCATGTTTGCGTGAGGTGTGAGTTATAAAGAAGCCATGTTATTGGGTGAAAAAACTCACTGCTATACAGACCTAGTTATAGAAGCCATGTCATTGGTAAAAAAAAACTCACTGCTATACCAACCTAACAAAATCAGCGACACGCTCTTGACAGACTTCTGCCATGGGAGTGCTACCTCCAGTTATAATTTTAGCTCAGTGGTTCTGAACGTTTCCACCAATTTTCAACCTGTTATCAATTTTGTCCGGGTCAAGGTCATTTTTTGTCTAATTGCACTGGACTAGTATAACAATAATTCAACACAATAATGTAATAACAATAACAATAATCTACTAATGACGACTAACAGCTAGGGGGCCTGGGGCGAGCCAAAGGCGAGTATATACTATATAGAACTTTTTAGGGGACTGGATATTAGGTTTGAACCGGATTGGAAGGAATAGGAATAACTAGAAATGGGAACTGCAGAATGTGAAGTGAAATGTTGACGACGAGGGACGAGCGGTTGGTTGGTTTGGTTGATGATGATATTACCTTAAGTGACTGGATAGTGGATGTTCACTATATTTTTAAAGTTTAGTAACAAAGCACAAGTTTTGTATAGATGCATAGATTTGTAAACTTTTTAAAGTAGGCCTTTGTCAATACAGTTTTGACTGAATAGTTTTTTAATGGGTCTCAAAAGTTGTTTGTACCAACGAGAGTTATTTTTGTTAACCGTTCATAGCATTCCCAACCCCAACATTTATTCTGAGTTTCAATTTTGCTGTATTATTTTTATAATGGGTGAATTAGATTACATTAACGTATTCTAAAAGTTTTCACAACTGTTGGCCTGGTGAGAAGTTAGTGGAAGTATTGTTCTGGTAATGGGTTTCGTGAGATGCGTGTACAAGAATTAGGTCCTACACCATGTGTAAAAATGTCAGAAGAAAGAAATAGGCCTGTGAATGGAGATGTGTCTACTGGTGGCATAAAAAAAGAGTTACAAGACACTAATGGACCTCCGAGTCCTTGTTTAAATACTAATTGTGATTCCGATAATGTTAGTTCCATAAGTGGTGGAAGACTTAAGTTTTTTAAGGGTAAGTCAACTTAGGTCTAAATAAGTAGGCTAGCCTATTTTGTTCAGTAAGTTTTAGACCTATGACCTATCAATACTGCTCAGTAGGCTTAGGATTGTGTAGAAAGATTGTTAGTTAGGCCTAGGCCCTAGGCTGAATAATAGTTTGGTGATACTGAACTTATACTAGGCCTAGGCCTACTTATGTTATATTGCATTATATTTGGGTAAACTTACAGTTTCTTAACTGGGCTACGCTAATATTGATTGAAACTATCAAATTAAAAATATTGATTAATAATCAATACTTTTAAATAGCCTATATCTATTATCAAACCTTAACTGACCAAACTTGCTGATGGTGAAAAATTGGCATGAAAGTTTACTAATCGAATCGGTAATTATTTACCCTATTTACACTGGGATTTGATGTAATTTTGATATATCTACTTACAGTATTTTTAACGCTGAATCCAAAAATGCAATCACTTTTGGTCGGAGAGATTCCTAAGTGGCCACGTACAGTTAGGGCCTATATAATTAATATTAAGCTTCAGTTTTGTTGATTTATTAACATAATTTGTCGTATGGACAGTGGCGACTAACATTAAAAGGGGTGGAAGGTTTGTGGAGTGGAAACAGCTGTCAGTTGTTTACATTCTACACTAAACAGACAAAACCACACACAACGCCATGAAAGCAAAATCAGAGTTACAATATGCAATAACTAGATTTTAAAAGAAAATGGACTTTGGTGCTATTCATAAAATTCAATAAATCAAATAAGCTTACCATACATAAAAATATTAGCTAATCACATGAACATAAATTATAAAACAAAATAGAAAATATCAGTAAGTAGGCCCAATAGAAGCTAGGCCACTGCCGACATGATCATCGTCCTCATTCCAATCCTCAACCATTGACTAATGCCTCAACGTCTGGTAATGAACGTGCCATAGTGCATAATCCCATAGTACATAATCCCATTGTGTCTAAAAGTGAAAACGTGCCACAGTGCATAATTGTATCAGCAACTAATAAATGATGTTACATAATCTAGAATCTAATCCAACCTAACCCAACCCAACCTTAATATTAATGTTTAAATCACATTTTATGTCAGAAAAGGCATGTGAGGAAGATAGGTCGGACTTTATGCGGATTCGTGACTATATTAAGTCCTTTGAAGTGAGGTTAGATTAGGTAAGTTAAAGGTTAGGTTATAATGAACCGACTCATTAATTTATGCAACTTCCAGACTGTTTAAAACTATTTAATTGTGCAAAAACAGTCTGGAAGTTGCATAAATTAATGAGTCGGTTCATTATAACCTAACCTTTACCTTCCTAATCTAACCTCACTTCAAAACACTTAATACAGTCACGAATCTGCATAAAACCCGACCTACCTTCCTCACATGCCTAAATAAGAACTGATTAGCCTATTTGGTTTCAAAACGAATTGATTTGATTTCATTCCGCATTAGATCAAGTGTAAACAGTTGTTTGCTCTTCTCACTCAGTCCTCACTCCTCACTCTTCACTCAGTACGGAACGGACCCGTCCAGACCACGCCATATTACCATTACCTTCAGTACCGCTCAATTACCTATCCTTAGATTCGTAATCCTAACCTTCGTTTTACGGCCACTTAGGAATCTCTCCGACAAAAACTGATTGCATTTTTGGATTCAGCGTTATAAATACTGTAAGTAGACATATAAAAATTACATCATATCCCAGTGTAAATACGGTAAATATTTGCCACCGAATCAATAGTTTGAATCGATATTAGCGTAGCCCAGTTAAGAAACTGTACCCCATTATTTGTTTTGCCTTATCTAGCCTACCTAAATTAGACTACCGGTATTTAAAGCACTTTTTACCATTGGCACTTTTGGGAGAAACGCACTTGTGTGAACCTGGCAATAAGTAGTGCACACGCCATGAAAAATCTATTGCTGGCCGTTTTGGAGCAAAATATGTCCGCAATCCATATTACCGATGATGCCAACAGATAGAGGACACTATTGCTGATTTTACCCCCCTTAACCTACTCCATAGGTAAGATGTTGATACTGTCGTGTACGTTAAAGTGTCCTCTATCTGTTGGCATTATTGGTAATATGGATGGCGGACGTATTTTGCCCAAAACGGCCGGCAATATATTTTATCGGGCGCGCGCACAACTTATTGCTGATTTTACCCCCCTTAACCTACTCCCCAGGTACATAATGTTGATACTGTCGTGTCCGTTAAAGTGTCCTTTATCTGTTGGCATCATCGGTAATATGGATCGCAGACGTATTTTGCCGCAAAACGGCCAGCTCTCCGCCGTTTTGCGGCGGTGTGCACACAACTTATTGCTGATTTTACGCCCCCTAACCTACTCCCCACGTAGGCCTACATAATGTTGATACTGTCGTGTCCGTTAACCCTAGTAGTGGCCGATCGTCGTCTGGTGACGATCTGACGTTGAAGCTTAGAATGGCGAAAGTCGTCTGGTGACGATCTGACGTTGATGCTTAGAATGGCGAAAGTCGTCTGGTGACGATGTGGGCCGAAATTTTTTTAGCGGTAAAAAAAACACGTATTATCAACTCAGATGAGAATAATATATATACCATTCGAGAGATTACATTCTAAACTTTCATTTTATTACAGAAACAAATCCTGTAGCAGGTATATAACAATGTCACGACGATTAGAAATCAAATGAATTTTTGGCGTGGCACGACTTTTGCAGCCGACACTTGGGAACTGGCAAAACACGTCTTGTTTGGCATTACCCTGCTCGGGTAATTTTCGTCGTGGGATGTTGCGGGTGGTACCACTGAATAGCCATTGATTTTATCTTCATTGTGGTAGTAATATATTTAGAACGTAATATTGATTGCACAACCGGTACGATTTTACGAAAACAGCTGTTTTTGTAATTTTCAACAAATGGCCAATGGTCGTCAGGTGACGATGTGGAAAATACGAATTACATACAGTGTAATTTATTATTACTAGTCATATAGTATGTCATTTTGAAGAGGAAGAAATATAGATTCAGAGAGTGGCAGCCCTGCTCTCAGGGTTATTTCTGTATGCTCGCATGTAGACGACGGAAGTGAGTCATTACTGCTACAGTCTGTCAGCTGTCTTGTATTCGCCATTGTTTGTTTGTGTAGTTGCCGGTAATAGTGTTCGTTCTCGTGTTATCCGCGATTTATTACTAAATACGTTATTAGTTCGTAGTGTTAGTGTTAGTGAAGTTTGTGTGTGTGTATAACAGTAATCTTCATGCATAAATATTACTGAATTGTGTGAAATAGTGTTCATAAAAAGGTTGTATTTTGTTAGCATCATGTCCTAAAATGACGATTCTGACATTCAGAGATTGTTGTAGAGACGGACCTTAGTTCGCCGTGCTATATATGCTATATAATGATTTACCCAAGGTGTTATAAATTTTTATAAAGGTAAATGAATACACTACAACATGTTTATATTGGTTTGGGTGTAAAAAATTTGGTAAAAAAATTATATAGGCTACTAAATACTGTACACTCCATTTTCTCGAAATGCACAAAAAATTCAAAACGTTCTCAAATTGATACATAATCATAGGTGAACATAACTTTTTACCATCATACTTATGACTTTTTTGGATTCCTTACTTCATTAGCTTCACAAATATGTAGGCTACATATCACCAGCCTACATAATGTTTCACAACACAAACAAACACTGTAGGCTATAGTTTACACTTATTTGCGGTTTTGCGGTAATTGTATTATTATGTCCCTATTACGTACCTACAAAAAAAATATTTCTAACATGTTATACATTTTTATGTAGGTAATTGAATACACTACAAGATTATTATGTTGGTTTGAAGTAAAAAAATTTGGTACAAAAGTTGTATACTAAATACTGTGAATTTTTTTTCTCGAGAAATCGCTAAAATATAAAAACATTATTTTATATACGTATGTTTATAGGTAAAAAATTATTTTTACCATCAACTTTATGACTTTTTTTGATTCCTTACTTCATTAGCTTTACAAACATGTATATCATTATTAGTATACACATATATTATAGCACTTTTTACAACATAAACTAACACTGTACGGTTTTAAATTTTTTCGGTTCTCCGTTTGTCATTATATTTCGCCCCTAAAACTTAAAAAAAAATATTTTCCTAACATCTTAGGCTATATATTTTTATGTAGGGAATTAGATTGTCTACTAAATGTATATAATGAATTTCCCATAAAAAATCCGTAGAAAAAAATACCGATTTTGAAATTTCAAAAAAAAAATCAAATTTTTTTATTTTTTTCACTTTTTGATAAAATACACTGTCTAAATCTCATTGTGATATTACTATTTCTAGATTCTCCTGTTCTTTCCGAACAAAATGAATATGAGGTTGGCTAGGTTTACTTGTACGGTTGAATTTTTACGAATTTTCAAAAAAAGGTCTGCAAAATCGCCAAAATGGGTTGGCCATTCCCCACTTCTAACATTGGCCACTGCTAGGGTTAAAGTGTCCTCTATCTGTTGGCATCATCGGTAATATGTATCGCGGACGTATTTTGCCGCAAAACGACCGGCAATAGATTTTAGCAGGCGTGCACACAACTTATTGCTGATTTAACCCCCCTTAACCTACTTCCCAGGTACATAATGTTGATACTGTCATGTCCGTTAAAATGTCCTCTATCTGTTGATATCATCCGTAATATGGATCGCGGACGTTTTTTGCCGCAAAACGACCGGCAATAGATTTTAGCGGGCGCACGCACAACTTATTGCTGATTTTACCCCCCTTAACCTACTCCCCAGGTACATAATGTTGATACTGTTGTGTCCGTTAAAGTGTCCTCTATCTGTTGGCATCATCGGTATTATGGACCGCGGACGTATTTTGTCGCAAAACGACCAGCAATAGATTTTTGGTGGCGCGTGCACTTGTTATTGCCAAGTTGGCCAGGTTCACACCAATGGGAAACGCCTATTTTATCCT